AGAATTTTTCTGCAGGATGCTGCATAATTCCTGTAGTATATGAGGACTACTTTCCTTTCAGCAAGTAAAGCAAATAGTATTGGTATGATTAATAAATAAAGAAAAAGGAAGACTTGCTTAGAAAGAGAAAAGATTAAAATTTAAGTGAGCTAGCCCGTGGCTCTTTTATTTTAAAATCTACCAGGAAGGCAACTAGGAATCTTGCAAAAATCTTCATGCTGTTTTCTGATTCATTCTTTTGGAATCAGTGTTTCAGGATAAAAAACATCCAACTAAACAAGACAATGGTGATTCAGTACAAAACTTGCTTATTCTTCATTAAAAATTAATTCCTAAAATAATCTTCCTATTATTTTCTAAAAGTATAACATATTTATTGATAAATCATGCAGTTACTATATCAAGGATGAAATTCAGCAGGTTCTTACAGGTTCTGGAGAAACAATAGCGGAAATTTTGAGTAGTTTGGAGAACCAGAAAATACCACCTCCAGCCCAAGAGTGGGGTGGGAATGGAGATTTTGCAATATCCTTCCCCCAGGTATGGGCAGGGAATGCGGATTTTGCAGTATCCTTCCCCTGGAATGGGGTGGGAATGGAGATTTTGCAGTATCCTTCCCCTGGAATGGGGTGGGAATGGAGATTTTGCAGTATCCTTCCACTGCCATGCCCACCAAGCCACGCCCACAAAACCAGTAGTAAAAAAAAATGAATTTCACCACTATACTATATCTGTTTTCATTAGAAGGAAAAAAAAATATCAGAAATTAAATTAAGGGGGGAAAAAACCATTGGTTTTATTCACTGCATGGCAACTACCTAACATTAGATCTTACCTTAAATCAGAATAAATTTTCAACTGTCTCAACAACAACAACAACAACAAAAACCTACCCCAGTAAAATTGTTGGCAGGTCTAAATTTTGGGACAGAAGCAACATTAAAAATAGCAAACCAATTAATCTTACTTTAAAAAAAGACTAGTTTTCAGTCAGGAGCTGTTAAAAAGTTTGAAAGAGCAGGAAAAAGCTAGGAGTTTATTAATTGCTCTAAATGTTGATTGTTCAATAAAATACAATGTTATTATTTGAACAATTGGCTGATGGGAAATTTGAATTGCCCATACTGAGAAAAAATGATTTATTGTTACATAAAAAGGAATTCCCTTTAATTTTAAATTTTCATTATAATAAACTACAAAAAGTTATATTAGTTCCATAAAATAGTAAATGCTCTATTTCAGCGATGGCTAACCTTATTGCCAGCGTGTGCCAAAAGTGGGGGGAGCACAGAGGGGTCGGCATGCCCACAACCATAGTTCTATGCGTGCACCTCCCCCCACGCATGCATGTGCGACCCCCACCCTCCTCCTGCTTTTTGTGCATGAAGGACCCATTTTTACCCTCCCCAGGCTCCAGAGGCTTTCTAGGAGCCTGGAGAGGGTGAAAACGCCCCCCGCCCCACAGAGGCCCCCCAGAGGCTTCAGGAGGCTTCCCCAAAGCTTCCAGAGGGTGAAAAATGGCGCTATGGACAACCTGGAAGTCTGTTCTCAAACTTCCGGGTTGCCCATAGGGCTGTTTTTTGCCCTCCCGGAGAGCAAAAAACAGCCTAAAATGAAAGCCGAAGTCAGCTGTCCAGCGCACGCATGTGTGCTGGACCTGACAGAGCAACGCCTCGGGTGCCCTAACAAATGGCTCCATGTGCCACCTGTGGTACATGAGCCATAGGTTCCCCATCATGGCTCTATTTAAAGAAAACAAAAGAGGAAAAATAAAAAAGCCCAGGAACAATGAAAATACAAACACATTCACACACAAAGCCAAAAATATCATAATAGATTATAAAGCAATTTGGTTTTTGAACATCAAATTAATCTTTGCCCTAGTAGAATTATATTGATCACTTTTTCCACTGCATTGGTAAAAAGCCAAAGGCTGAAAGGAAACATGTATTCTTCAATCCAGTATTTTCAGTATGGAGCAATAGCTCTTTTCAGCAAAGGAAAACATATTTTCTTGACTATGCTCCAAGTTGTATAAATCCAATGATCATTAATTAATACATTTTAAATTGTCATCATATAATTTGTATTAACATATGTGAAATTATTTTTTTGAACAATATGAACATTAGTTTGAGTATCAGCCCAAAACAAAATTATCAGATTATACAGATGAAATCCCTTCAAATACATTATATCTCCAACATTTGCCGCAGAGTCTGATAAAGATGCAAAATGATCTTTTGATGAATTAATTTAAACTTAAGAATGTAAGAGACATGCTTAACATTCTTGAAAATACAAGGCCAAAGCTGTATTAAGCTGGGATATTCCTATACTTTATTCTAAAGCTCTTGCAACTTTTCAATATCTATTTTAGAAATACTTTTTAGCTTATAAAAGCACTGCAAGTTTAAATCCTTCCAAACCATATCCCAATACATTTCTTGTTGTTTTTAACCATTCGGTCATGTCCAACTTTTGACGACTTTATAGGCAAGTGCAACTTCTTTCAGTTATTTGATCTACATCTTCATATCAGTTTTGATGTTATTCACATGCAACTAATCACACATCTAGAGTTTATAGTAATAAATAATGGGCCACATTGAGAGTCAGCCATGGTGTAGTGGTTAAGGTATCAGGTTAGTAAACCAGGAGAGTTCTGATTCCACCTTCGCCTTGAAGTCAGCTGGGTGATCTTGGGCCAATCATTTTCTCTCAACCTGAAGCAGCAGGTAATGACAAATCACTTCTGAAAAAAAATTGCTAAAAAACCCTGCAAAGACCAGTCCAGGCAGTTGCCAAGGTTTTTAAAAAAATGGCTTTAAGGAACAACAAAACAGAACTAAGTTAACCCAAATAGATACACATAAATATAGCAGTTTGTATTATAAAAGTTATTTGTTATACTTTAAAATAAACCATTACTCTGTCAAATTATATTAATGTTCTATTTGTCTTTCAAAATGGAGAATAAAATTTAGGATATTTATCTGTTCTCAAAAGCACACAATGAAATAAATAGGATGAAAGACTGATTTGTGAAGGTATTAGTATCAGCTTCATGGTCAAGTTGGAAATTTGAACTCATACATTCCCCAATTAATTTTTACCATGAAGTAATGGAGAAAACATAGTACAAATGTGGTAAGTAATCAATATAACACAGTCCTTTTTAATTAGACATACTTCTCAGTTTAACTAGTTTTGGGGGCTCACAAGTAACTCAAAGGATTACGTTTATTGTATCAGAAAGCCAAAATACCTAAACTATTCTCTATCTAGAAATTAATAGAGATTCTTCTGCAGAATTGTTTGTTAATACAGTAGATAATATGAAAAATTATTTTCTACACACTATTTTCTATGCATTGCTTTAAAAAAAGGATAACAAACTTGCAGAGTAAATCAAAATAGTTTGTATACAAGAATAGCAAAGAACATAGGTTATTACTGAATGAATTCAATCATTTAGAGAAGGAAAATACTAGTAAGCCAATTCCATTCCCCCCTACCTCAAAAACAAACACTCTAGTGCTGGCAACTCACACATTATTACAAAGTTGCTCATTTCACATTCTTCTTTTACATTTTGCGTAGATATGATAAATACAGACTGACTAACTATATATCTTCTTATCTTATCTCTTAGTATGTATGTATGTATGTATGTATGTATGTATGTATGTATGTATGTATGTATGTATGTTCGTTCCAGCATAACTCTGGACTGCCTTGAGCAATTTCAACCAAACTTGGTACACAGATGACTTACCCTCTGGAAACAAATACTAGGGGGGAGGGGGAGAAGACACCCCTNCATAGACCATCTCTTTGAATTTTTGAACAGTAGTTCCTCTAGTTGGTTTATCAAACAGAGTTGTTTGTTTCCTTGGTTCTAGTTCAGTTCTAAGATCAATATGAGCAATTTCTTCCATCTGGCATTTTATAACTCCTTGCAAATTACCCCATTCTCCTAAATACATCTGTACAAAATGGAATAAACGACAATTATAGGTGGAAATTTATCTTTAACACAAATGCTCTCTGTAATTAGTACTCAGTATTTAATTGACTAAATTGTTGGTTTAAATGATTATTTTCAATAAGATGACCTGATTTTCTGGATAACAAATCTTAAAATGTATATGCTATTTATACAAATATAGGATTTATAAAAGGATTGTAGCTGACAAGTGCTAATCTGGAAACAGCGTTTCCACTTCTACTAAACTAGTACTTATATACTGTGTTTATATAAAAATGCCACATGCTGTCTTTAAAAATACTAAATTTAAGTGAATTTCAAAATATCAGATGAGCAGTTGTCCTTGATTTCTTCATTTTTCTCCCTTGAAAATAAGACATAGAAATAAGGCAACCTGAAGATCATGACACATAGGTGAAATGGGAGTTTAAAGTTTATAGCATTATTTAAATTATTTATATAGAAATATTTTAATGCATTTCATTACAATAAGTCTAGCTTCTTCACCCAGCTTTTACAGAGATGGAAATAAAAGACTACTGGTCAAATACAATCTCTATCCAAGATGGTTGCATAGTGATATCTGTACTCCTAGAACACTGTTTAGCAGTTGTCATTAAACAGTTTTAACAATATATACTTTTTTGCAAGGTATGTAACATGGAAAAGCAAAATTCATTTGGTAAAGGATATTCTGTAATTTTTATTAAATCATGGCTGATAATCATTTAAAATTCATACATTATTGTACATTTTAACATATACTTTAAATCACTACTAAATATATATTTCACACTCATTTCATTTATGGCACTAATTAATAACCACAAAATTAGACAGTTCTTGAATGCAGTATTATTAATAAAACACTGTTATAAATTATTTTATAGTAACAGGTTTTAAATGAAAATCTAGATGATGCTGTTCCAGTTTAAAATCAGATGTGTCTAAATAGTAAGACTCATTTCAAAAAAATCCACAAGTACTGTAGCTGAATTGGGTCCTTGCATTCCTTCCTATTTAGCAATTTTCCCTAAAGACTCCTTTTATCAAGTCCCTTTGCAGGAGATGATTTTGCAAGCTCAAAATACTATAATGGATGCAAACTTTAATATAGCGTGGTAAGCTTTATAAATTGGGGAGCTACATGTTACATTAAGTCTTGTGTGTAGGATACACGGGGAAGATTAATTTGTCATAACATCACTAGATAGGACTGATCTTTTCAAACTTTTAAAAATAATTTGGTAATGGGATTTCGAGGATAAAATGCATGCTTAAGACATTTGCTCTTAACCCTTCCATTTAACTTCCTCCAAAGCCAAACTTTCAGTCCTTGAATAGGAGGCACTCACCCGATGGGTGAGATTTTTTATTGCTGGAAACCAGAAGTAAACACCAGTTGCTAACAGAAAACACATTGTAAATCCTGGTCATGTGACTGTGCAATGCTGCAAAAGGATATAAATGCCAGCTGGTTACAAAGAGCCCGAACTGTGATAATGGAAGGAGAGGACAACCCTACTTCAAATCTGGGTTATAAGTAGCCCTGGGGAGATCTACCGCAACATTTTATGGTCATTAAGCAACTGGTTGTAAAGTTGAGAACTATCTGTGGGTATTTTGTGAAATTGCTGGATGTTCTGACATTTCGCTTTTGTCATAGTCCAGAACCGTTCTATGTATTGCAGTGTGAAGGGGAAAAGAGAATTATGTAGATTGGGGGAAAGAAATTCTGGGCAAATATGAGAAGGGGAAACAATAGCATGGTAGGATATTCTTAAACATTGGAGCTTAACATTCTCCTCCATATTACAAAATGCTTGATTAAGTCAATTCTTTATCATAAAACACTATCAGCAATATTGCATGGATTCTGTAAATATCTAAGCAAATTCAATGTTGGCTTTGGCTTTTTAAAGAGTTCTATTTTCTATGACATTTATAAACTAATATACCTTAGAATAACTAGAATGACTGTGTTTGCAGCAATCACTATGTTTAGATGGATCCAATTTTAGGGATCAAGCGAACAAATTGACTGTTGGCTTACCTGAATGGTCGTTCTCTGGGTGCTGTGGGAGTGTCCAAGCATGGGTTAACTTCAGCTTGCTGCCCAAGGACTGAGTTCAAAGTTGTGTAGCTATGCCTCCTGCTCCTCCTGCTCTAAAGGACCTGCGGCTACCCTGCTGCTTGTTTTTGTCCCAAAACAAAGCCCTGTCATGGGAGCGGTCCTGCATTTGGGAATAAGGTCTGGTCAATCCCCCAGAAGTGGAAGGGGAGTCTGCAGTCCCAAAGGTCTGCCTACGAAAAAAGGAATGTCCGTTGCGGTCCCCTTTTTTTGTAACCTCCGGCAAGACTTTGTGTTTGTCCTTGGACTCAATTAAGACAGAATCCAAGACCTCACGCTTGCTGCCCTTGAAGAGAGCTGAAGCCAGCTTCCACTTCGCTTTTATGTCTGCCTACCAGTAGTCTGCACAAAGTCACATTAGAGGCCAGGGCCCTAGAGGAGAATTTGGTGGCGTCAAGGGAGGCGTCAGCTGAATTCAACTGCTGCAATAATTTTGTTGACGTCCTGGCATGATCTAGTATCGCCAGCTGGAAGGTTAGCTAGCAGCTTATGAAGCCAAAACAGGGCTGCCCTACTGAAGTACGAGGAGGAGGAGGCCTTCATGGCCCATGCAGTGGCCAGATGAGTTTTATGACAGGCCTTCTCCGCCCTCTTGTCCTCCGCCTTGAGTCCCTCCAGCAGATCACCTGGAAGGACCGAATTCGAGGTAAGGGCCACTATGGGGTCATCTATCTGAGGAAGCTTCAGAAGGTCCTCAATGCCACTTTCCATCTTTTATCTACCCCACTGGGATTAGCCATAGATCCAGGCTGGGCCCATTGGCGCTGGATAACATCTAGAAAGAGCTGAGGATCTGGAACCAGATCCTGAGGAGGGGTGCTCTCCTTGAAGAGCCCAGGGCCTGGATCTGAGGAACCAACAGTTTCCTTATTACCCTACTCTGTGGCATTGTTCTTAACAGATTGAGCAGGGAATCCCATCTGGACAGATGAAGCTCTCGCCTTAGTGAGGATGGCCCTAAACATGGAAGGCTTGAATAACCCCGAAAAGATGGGGATGTCAGGAGCTGGATTTTCATCTTCAGATAGGTATGGGGCATCTTGAATGCCCTCTTCATCCTCAGATGCCTCGCTGACGGCTGAGGAAGCGGGAGGAGAGGCCCTGCTAAGTTGGTCCTGAGTGGCAGCGGCATGTGCCTTAGTACTGGCTCGGCTATTGGGAGGCAAGGTGAGGCCTAGTTGCTGGATGCCGTCTGCAATGTCCTGAGAAATCGCGCGTGCGACCACCTCCTGCATTGCTAGGGACAACTCAGAGCCTGGATCCTGAGAGGGATGTGTGGCCCCGGTTCTAGGCTCCGGAGGAGGGAGTTTCTCCTCCAACAGAGAGCAGGCCTCCTCCATGTAATCCTCCTCTAGGGAGGAGGCAAGGGACCTGGGAGAGGCCCTAGAAGGATTGGCCGAAAAACCGAAATCCCTTTCTTCTGCCAGGGATGGTGATCTATTCTGCTGGTTGGTAATTGCAGAAGGAGCTGCAGGAACCTCAGCTGCTGGTGCCTCCCTGGCTTGGGCAGTTTACGCCCTTGGAAACTGCCTTTCCAATACCTTTTGTCGCCTCTCAACCAATCTTTCTTCTGCTTTGGAAACCCTCTTGTTTTGGGGCTGCTTCCCTTTTGCAAGGTGACTTGCACTGTCCCCCTTGGCAGCAGGATTAAGTCTGCTGCGTTTGTTGGTAGAAGGACCTGTCTGATCACTGATTTCAGCCACACTATTGCTGGCCATGGTCCACTCCAAGCTGTAATACAGGCAAGTTGAATAATTTAAGCCTTGGAAGTGCCTGGGATATAAGTGATAGCCCCTTATGCAGTCACAGTTCTGAGGGAAGGGCCAGACAGGGAGCAACAGCGGTGCAAGGTTTTGGCGCCAAATTGGAAAGACCCAGAGCTCCTGCAGATCCACGCTATAATAAAACAGGGAATGGCCAGAGCAAAGCCAAACTACCTGTGGCCGCCTTCAATAGTTTTCCTGGGGAGGGGGGAACCTGCCTGGAGCCCCAGAAGGAGATTCCGATGTTAAACGCCCTCCTAGAAGCGATCTGCTTTGGAAACCAGGCTGCGACGTTTTAAACGGCTGGGAAATAAAGCGCACCACTTTTTTTTCCTTTCAAAATGGCCTCCGCAAACTTTGGAGCGACACCGGGGAACTGTCGGCAATCCGGATAGCTCAGTAGAGCTTCCGGGGCTAGAAACAGTCCTCCGACAGCGTCTGGAGTCTCCCTAACCTTCCTACCTGCCTCCTGAGCTTGCCAGTGGCTGCTGACGAGCCTCCTGGTGGTGCCTCAACTGCGGTGGTCGCGGAAGACAGCCTCGCTCCAAGCTGCCTGTTCCGCGTGTCAGGAAGGCTGTATGCGAAAGTTTTCACTTGCAGGAAAAATAATAAAACACTAACGCTTCCTAAACTATCCACTAACAACAAAAATAAAAAATAGGCTACACTAGACTGGAGAGTCCAACTTGCTGTCCAAGAACTGGATCTCCCCAACTGCGTCCTTTTTGGGGCGACTGAGCTTTTTAAACTGAGCCTCTAAAGGGAGCAGGAGGCGTGGCTACACAAACTTTGAACTCAGTCCTTGGGCAGCAAGCTGAAGTTAACCCATACTTGGACACTCCAAGCAGCGCCTAGGAGAATGAAGTCTTTATTAATTAATAAAGACATTAATCACTGCTCTTTGTAATTTTTTAAATCTTTAATATATGAAGTCCATTTTTATCTATTTTCAACTGAAGCATTATTTAAAGTAAAGTTACACAGTATTATTTATCATTTTATGCTTTTTCTGAAATAAAAAAAAATCAGAGTACTCATACCTGATTGTTGGGTTGGGTTGACAAACATTTTCTGAAATAAAGTGTTTGTCTTGTACACAGGCTACTACATGCTGATCCATCAATAACCCCACTCTTGTATTTATCACATATTGTTTTCTTACAGTCATGCCCTCTGCAAAGTTCTGTGTAAGATGAGTGCTGAACATAAATAATCTAGCTGCCAATAAATACTCCTAGCCAAGAGAAGAAGAGATATTTCATCCGCATATAAGAGAAGCGAACCTCCGACACTACTTAAACTGGATCCTGAGCTTAACATCAGGTGATGAGCAAGGCAGTGCCATGTGCTGCTGGTGGTAAAGAGGCTTGGGATCCATGCATGGAGTGGCGTGGGTGTGCTGGAGGTTGCAGGGATGCTCTCTAGCACTTTCTTCTTCTCTTGGCTAGGAGTATTTATTGGCAGCTGGATTATTTATGTTCAGTACTCATCTTACACAGAACTTTGCAGAGGGCATGACTGTAAGAAAACAATAGTAAGTATTTTTTTTAAAAAAAAA